TTATTCAGCATTCCTCATGCAGCTAAAAACACTACTACCTTTGCCTGCAAGCCTGAGGCTGAAGAGGATGCAGCCTCAGTACTAGTGGTATCGGGACTGTAGCTACATTCATGAGCTCTGGTTTTTGTTTCTGCCATTCCAGCAAGGTATCTCCTGTTTTCCAGGCTTAGAGCTGCCCTGGCATTTCCACTGCCTTCATCGCTGCTGTGCTGGGAGCACAGACAGGATTTTGGGTGAGTCCTGGTTTCCCTCTTCTCGACATTGGTACATGTGTGTATAAATATACAAAGGGGGAGTGTCACGAGGATGGAGCCAGGCTCTTCTCAGTGGCAAACAATGATAGGACAAGGGGCAATGGGTGCAAACTGGAACACAAGAGGTTCCACTTAAACTTGAGAAGAAACTTCTTCTCAGTGAGGGTGACAGAACACTGGAACAGGCTGCCCAGGGAGGTTGTGGAGTCTCCTTCTCTGGAGACATTCAAAACCTGCCTGGACACGTTCCTGTGTAACCTTATCTAGGTGTTCCTGCTCCAGCAGGGGGATTGGACTAGATGATCTTTTGAGGTCCCTTCCAATCTCTAACATACTGTGATACTGTGATAATGATGTTAGCTACTGTCTTATTGCTTGTGTCCCAGCTCCTGTGAAATTGATAGTTGTGCACAGCACTTTGTAATTGGAAAAAGTCAGGAGCGTATTGGCAACCGACTGCTTTATTAAGTTATTCTTCTGGGCAGATGATGCTATGCCCTGCATCTTAAGGTTGTCTATTAAGATGGAGTGTGGAATTGGTAGATGGCAGAGGAACAGCTCCCAGTCAGCGACTGATCTGAGCTCAGTGGGTTCCCATGCCTCATGCCTCTTCACATAGTCCCAGAAGGTCTGTGCTTGCAGTGGAGAAGGTGGCATGCCATGTTCAACAGTTCCATCGGTTGGCACTTTTTATTCAGTCCAAGCTGTGGGAATAGCTGACCAGACGCTGCTTCTGCCTGTTTATCACTTTGCAAACCTTTCATGTTGCTCCTGAGCTCTTAATCTCCCGGGGGTGACCTGGCTGTCAGGGTGACATTTCAGGTGACAAGCTGGGTTACTGCAGCTAACTCATTCTCTAAGATCTGTGTAGCACCAGTGTAATACTTCATTGCTTTCTCCATTAATGACCCCTTATTAGATGCTTTGTAGGTAGACATCTGTCAAATTTCTGCCTAAGATGGACATGGAAGGCTACAGAAAGGGCCAGGGACATGTATCCAATTAGGGGAAATTGGAAAATTATCCACCCAGGATGCTGGAAGGAAGTCTGCAGTGTGTGTGTCCTGCCAGGAGCTGCCTCTCCTCCTGCTCTGCCCCTGTGAGGAGTGAAGCACCTCTGCCTTTGGGATCCCCTGAGGATGTAACCGCTGATTTCTGCGAACTCACACATCCCTGTGAGGAAATGATCAGAATTCTACATTGTCTTCTTGAGCTAAACAGAAACTGCCCTTGAGCATCCCCCAGGTTCCACAGGACTGCTCAGCTGGGGTCAGGTGTGAACTCCTACGCTCACTGCAACCCCCAAGTGCTGATGGGGCCTCTGGTTTGGAAGATGCAGGAGCAGGAGGGAGCAAGGAGTAGGACAGATTGGGTAAAGTATGTAAACCCTGGGCCCTGGGGACTTCCCTTCTGCAGCAGTGTGAATTGTGCTGGAAAAACTTACCAGCTTCACTTGCTCTTGTATACAGAAGACTTTATTCTGGAGAGTGCTATTTTTTTTTTACTTCTTTTTTTCTATTTTAATGGGATTATTGTAGGTGTTCCTGCTGGCTATAAGCAGACATGTGAAAGGAAACAATATATCTGCATTTGGAAGCTTGTCCTGGAACTGATTTCTTGAAACAAAAATAATTTTCTATTTAATCTCTCTCATGTGTTATTTCTGTATCATGCAAAGTAGTTCTTTACAAAAAATTAAGCTCTTGTGTATAATGTAAAAGGTAGACTTTAAATAAGAAGATATTTTTGGCAGGCTACAAGATGGAATTTGATCAGGTGAGCTCTGGGGAGTTACTTTTCTGGGAAGCACAGTGAGGGTACAGGAGCCAAACTGTGCCTTTGCTAGAAAGTCCCAGTGGCAGGGTGCTTAGGGGAGCTTTGAAACAAGCTCTGCATCACTACAGCCTACTTCACATTTAAACCCTGTCAGCATAGATGGAACAACAGAAAGTGAGAGACTTCTGTGTGAAGCCTGAAGAGGGGGAAGGCTGCTCAGCACCACTCGGGAAGCTGGGAAACTCAACTGCTCTATTTTTCACCAATTTTCTTGTCTCCGGCAGGTCAGGTGGGTGTTAATGCTTTCAAGTTGTTACCACCACAGGGACTCACTATGAAGTCTAAGCACGACATCAACAGCAGCCAGGCACCAACCAGCTGTGAGGGATAGCGGGCACCAAGCGGGGTGGGATTGCTGCTGGAAGCCAGCCTGTGGGCCTGCATCAGTCAGTCATCACCCATGATGGAAGAAAAGCCAACAGAGAAATACAAATAGCAGTGGAAGCAGTAATGTAAACATCTTACAAGGGAGGTCAAAACTGCTGTATTGTATTTATCAGTTGGATTAGAGTGAAAAATGAGATGTGCTTGGAGTGTTTTTGCAGATACCTAGCAGGTCGGTGGCTGTGAGCTGCTGGGCTCAATGCAGCACTAATGCTTGGTAGGTGGTGAATTACCCACATATTGCCTAGACATGTGAGCTCAGCCTGAAGTGTTAAATGGCTGTTGCAGTACTTCCTTAGCAAAGACAGCTACTCCATTTTTCTCAGTAGCTTTTCCAAGCAGCACTCCTTCCTTTCCCACCTCTTCTCTGAGGGGCTCAGATGCTGTTGAACATATCTAAGCACAGTTTTTTCTGTGTCCCAGGAGCTGGCTTAGTCTTTTGTTAATTTTATATATCTGTACCTCTTTTCCTTCAGGGAAAAGGTCAAATACCTGCTATTCTGACACTACCCAAGTTAAAGTCATGGTTTTGTTGAACTCAGCCAGGGGAGCAGGTAACCTGCAGGGATTTTTAAGGAAAACTCATGGAGCTGAACGCAAAGTCAGAGGTGGCCACTGGACCTACACCATAACTGCCCTGTCTCTGCACTGGAGGTTGCCCTGGGCTTTGGGAAGGCATCTGTGCCACCCCAGTGTCACCTGGGGAGTGACCAGCACACATGCCTGTGTTAAACCAGTGCCTCTGGAGGGTGCTTCTTTCCAGCATTTTGCCTGCTTGCTCAAGCAGGACAGTTACAGGAAAAATATTTGTTACTGGTTTCTCTGTGGCAGCACTGGCCCCCAGACAGCCTACTTAGAACATGAATGCCTGGAGTCTATGAGTCCTGGATCAGCTTCAGGAAACAATTCCTTGATGGCCTTCCCAATCCAAAGCCTCTGCTTAGCAGAAAGATACCTCATCTTACCTAAAAAGAGGAAGTCCAAGATGATCATCACCTGGTTTCCTTGGGTATCTAGCCCAGATCAGTAAGTTACCAATCAGGTTAGTTATGATAAGGATGATACTGAATATCAACATAGTTCACCTAAACCCCCACTGCAGCTAAAAACTGCCAGCAAGGATAAAGAATAAATAAGCACATCATTAAGCTAATGAGACCCATATGCTTGTGTAGGCAAATAAAAGTGAGCTAAATCTATTGAAGAGCCAAAAAGCAGATGAATGAACCATGACTGACATCCTGGAATCATGTTTAAAATGCAAATATTGATATTTCTCACACTTCTTTTCCCTTATGTAAATCACATCTAAATAAGGCATCTGATAGAAGAGAATATATTTCTGCCTTTGAGCTCTTTCTCAAATGAATGAAGCAAACCCAACTTGAGAGAATACCTACAGACTGCTACAATTACTGGAGAATGCAGACAGCTGGGGAGTCACAAACAAGACTTGTCATCGTGGTAGAAGCCGAGCCTGAAAGTAATTTGTATCCCAATCTGCACAAATTAATCTGAGATCTTGTCTCCCAAAAAAGCAAGCCACACCATTTCCAACTGGGATGAAACCGCAACTGTCAGGTTTGTGGAATCCAGAAACAGTTGCAGTCAGAAAGAACTTTAATATCAGAGAAATTATCCTCTTTCTTCTGTTTCCATGTTACTTATACAGAAGGAGAAAAAGAAGGAAAGATAATAAAGCCTACCAGCTTTTATGAGCTTGATATTACTTTTTCAGGGAACATGTATCTCAGGGAAGAATTTTCCTTCCTTTGCTAAAGGTTTGGGCTACTTGTTGCTATGCACTTGTTTGCACTCTTCTAGGAGTTGCTGTCCCAGACATTTATTGCTTTGCAGGTCTAACAGATCAGCTCATCTTTCCTGACCAGTCACATCATTTAATTGGGCAAATTATCTCTTATATCTACTGCTGGCAGAAGGCTATGAGCTTCAGGTTACCCTCCAGGGAAAGCATGCCAGAATTTCTCTCTTTCCCTTTCTAAGTGCCACTTTGAATCGATGGAGATCCTGACTCAATTAGTGTGGGATGGCCCAGCCCTCCTGCCTGCTGAGATCTGAGAACGGGGCTTGCTGTTGTCTTGAGTTTGGTTATTACAGCATGTGGCCCTGGGTGCTGGTGTTTGTGACTGAGAACAAAGTGACTGTGAATTTAGAGCCAATTCAAAAGGAGGTCAGGGAGGAAACTATGTGGTGGGGGCTGCTTAGGCTGAGGAAGAGGATTCTTGGTCAATGCTATACTCACATGCTTGTGTAATAGATGCCATCTTCCCCAGTGACACCCAGGGATTGCACTGGGAGCTAGAATGAGCCTAGTATCAGATAGTCTTTTTGTGATACATTTTATGTAGCACAGCGTACATGTAATATACTGGCTCATACAGGCAAGTGTGTGATACTAAATGTTTGACTCAGGGGCAGTCAGATGTATTTTCTTAGCTACTTTCCTTTTCATATATGTATTTTTGCCTTTTGCTGATATTCTTATTTTTCTGGCTGCCATTTCAGGGAGCAGAAAGAAGAAATATACCCTTTTCCTTGACTTCCTTTTGGACTATCTTCCTGAAAGCAAAAAACCTGTGAATATTCATCACTTTTAGTTTAATTCATAGGGCACTCTCAGATGGAAGGCTGAAGTAATTAGCAGGTACTGACATACTGTCAAAAATGAACACTTTGCCAGTCATAAAATCACAGAATCCCAGCCTCGTTTGGGTTAGAAGGGACCTTAAAGCTCCTCCAGTTCCAACCCCTGCCATGGGCAGGGACCCCTTCCACTAGAGCAGCTTGCTCCAAGCCCCTGTGTCCAACCTGGCCTTGAACACTGCCAGGGATGGGGCAGCCACAGCTTCTCTGGGCACCCTGTGCCAGCGCCTCAGCACCCTCACAGGGAAGAGCTTCTGCCTAAGAGCTCATCTAAATGAAATGAACACTTTTCCAAGCTGTGTGTACCCAATTGAAGCACAGCAGCAAAAGATGTAAATGTTTGGAAAAGACATTTATGGGTTTTAAAGAAGCATAGATTTTTCACCAAACAGTTTCAGACTGCTAGCTCTGAGTTTACAGTCTTTCTCTCTGCACCTCGAAGTGGGAAGGTAGAGCTTAAAAAATGTGAAATAATGAGAACTAAGCCCAGAATGGAGAAAGTGAGTGTATATGTGCTAATTTACACCAGCTAAGGATTTGGCTTTCAGCTCCTATAAATTATCTGATTACACAAGTTATTGTTGTGGGCTTGGTTTTGTTTCGTTTCTATCTCTATGTCCACTGTTCTGGGATTTGACAGCATTGCAACATCTCCAACTAGAAGCCTGTCAAAAAGCCTGCTGACAAAAGCTTTGTTGCGGTCCATGTTACATCTACAACGTCACTGAAATATAACCTAGCTGTTGTGACTAGAGAGGTGCCTGAGTGTAACTGAAGTGTTGATTATCTGACACTCGTCCAGCTGAAGCACAGCGCTGGCATCAGCTTGTAATAGTAACCAACTATTTACAAGCCACTAATGACAATTTCCTTCCCTCATATCAGATTGTAAATGCATTAGTAGATCACAGCTGTAGCTCATATCTTGCTTAGCAGATAAAAGGAAACAATTCTCCTCTGGATTAACTGAATTAAAATGGGAGTGCCATTCCTGATTCACCAGGACTAAAGCAAAGGCTTCTTTTGTGATTCAGGACTGAGGAGAATAGCTGTATTTTCCTGTTTCTTCTCAGTAACTATAAAGGTTTGGTTTGGGAGATCACATTAACGACTCTCATGAGTGCACCATATGTTTTAGTCTGTTTTAATTACTGCAGCCTTTACAGTCTTAGCTAAATGTCATACTTAGTGCTTTGTTTTACAATTAAATCTCTCCTTTGGGGAGATCTTAGAATCTTCTTCTCTCCTCATTTGGGAAGGGTGAAGGAGAACTGCGAATTTACATTATTATGGCCAAACACAGCTTTGTTTGGAAAACAAACTTTATTATTATTATTCTATCAAGATGGTTTCTATTAGATACTTTGTTGAGGCCAGGGAACAACAAAGTAGGAGATAAAAGACATTCTCTCTCCCTTTTCAGCAGTGCCTTGCATAAGCCAAAGCATCTCTTTAGCATTTGAAGGTAAAGGTCTACACAAAATGAAAAGACAACACGAGTTCAGGCCTCCACACGGTTTTAAGCTCTTACTAAGGATACATTTACATCTCGAGCAGACTCCTGGTAACTGCGGACAAACTTGACTCTCTTCACAGCTCTCACCCACTCCCCAAGCCCACGCACACTTCCCGCACAGCGCTTTGCACACAGATATGTCTCATTAAGAACTGAGTTGATTATCTTTTTCCTTAAATAACAGCAAGCCTCAGTTTAGCCCTTGCGAGCCTCGGGGGGAGCCGCGGAAAGGTCTGCTGGAGACCGTGATGCGAGGCCCTGCGAACGGGACTTGCTCTGCCGCAGGGCTCGGCTCCAGGGGGCCTCCCAAGCGCTGCCCTAGCAGGTAGCTGCCCTGTCAGCCAGGCAGGGTGAAGCACACGGTGCATGCAGCACCTCGGGGTGGCACTGAACAGGGGTGTGCCGGCCGGCCGGCGGGCTGCCCTCGGCTGGAGGGGCAGCTGGCGGGTGCTGGCCATCTGGGTTCATCGAAACTGCGAGGAGATCAGCGGCTCCTGCCATAAACGGGATGAGGTGTTTACTTACAGCAACAATTTCCAAAGATCTCTACGCAGGCAACACTTCAGAGGGAAATCCTTGTCGTTGTTTACTGTTTCTGGGCGACCGGTGTCGGTCTGAGGGAAAATTAATGTAATTTATTGCTGATCAAACCAGGACTGTCACAAACACACCCCCAGATCACCTCCCTGCTCTCTCCTGGGCATCCCGGGGCTGGTTCTAACACTTTTTTCCTCACAGCCATGTGCACTGTAACTTTCATGACCGCCTCTCCTCAGAGGCGCCTCCGGCTCCCGGACGGGCTGCAGCAGCCACAAGCGGCCATGTCCGTGCCGGGGCCTCTCCTCTCAGAGACCCTGCAGGCCCGCCATGGACACAGTGCAAAGACAGCGGAAAAGGCGGGTTCAGTGTGGGAACCATGAGAAGCAGAAGCCACCGCGCTGCTCCGAAGATACCTGGGCAAAGGTGAGCGCTGGGAGGAGGAAAGGGGCGGCGGGTGCCCGGCCCTCGCCCCGCAGTAGGGCAGCGGGCTCCCCATGGCTGTCCCTGGCGTTTCACACAGCAGGAGCTGTAAGCGAAGCTCATTCATCCTGGAACACGGGCCTCCTGTCTGTCCCCTTTCCCCTGGCCTGAAACCCTGCCCCGTGGTCAGAGGCTCCTCCTCAGGGGCTGTAAGCTGCAATCCTCCGTGTTCCCTCTCTTACCTGCCTCCCCTGCCTCTGACCCTGGGCCAAGGCACGTCCTGGTCAGCACCTGCACAGACACGAGTGCATCCCCTGCAGAGGTGCTGGGGCAGGAGGAGACCTATCTCCAAGGGTTCACCATGCTGAACAGGGCTTTCGCAGCCGTGCAGAATCCCCTCTCCTCCTCCTAAACTCTGGCTTGTGTTTAAAACTGGGGGAGAATCAGACTCTCCTTCCTGCTCTGGTGGCAGGGATGGAATCTGTTTTTCCCTCTCCCCCTGTGTGAGGGCAGAGTGTAGCCCAGCTGTAACTGTTCCAGGAAACCTGGACGTGAGCAGGTAGCACAGGTTCACTGGGGCCTTTCCGATGAGCAAACCCACCCAACAACCAACCTTCCCTCTGTGACCCTCTCTTTCCCCTGCAAAGGCTCATGGCTTACACTGGAGACAACCGGCGTGGGACCTGCCCCAGCACTTCTGCAGAGCAACACTTCCCCACAGAGCGTGCTGTGTCGAGAACAACCCAGGCTGCTGCAGGTCAGACCCACGTTGGAAAGGGGGGAGTTCCTGCTTGTTTATTTGCTTTCTGATGGCTATAAAACTAACGGGCCACATTTTTCATTCTCTCAGGCATTACTAAGGAGAAACAGGGCTATAGGGATATTCCTAAATAGTTTACATCTGTGCTCTGAGTCTGGAAGAAAACACCCAGCCAGATTTCAGGAGAGAAAGAAACTGGAGACAGCTGTGAAAGGGGCGTTGCTGCTGTCTGCTCTATGACTGTGTGGGTCATCTATTCCCTTCAGTAGTAACAGGAGAAGCACATCCAAAGCAATAGTGAGTTGGCCTTTGAGTATGAACTAACTAGGGCTAAACAGTATTACAGCCTTGTTACTTTCCTATGCAACAGCATCCATAAATTCAGCAAAGAAGTATGTGCTGTATGTGGATGCCTATTGCATGGACCAAGCTCCAAAGCTGCAGTGGAAAAAAAGAAAAGGAAACTTTGCAGTTGGATTTTCCAGAGCAGGTAACATTGGGACTACTTTTTAGCTCTCAATTGAATTAATTTTGTGTGAACTAGATACATTTGTGCAGGATGACATCTCCAAATAGTCCCTGTGGGGCTCATGAGATGGTTTTGCTAAGAACTTGGCTAGCTGTGTGTCTGTGCTGCCCAACAACAGGGATGTTTTGCCTCACTAGATGATAACTTTCACATGTTGTTAGAGATCCATCACAGTAGAAGTCAGTACTAACTGGCTCACATGGCCTTCAGCTTTCCAACATTTAATCATCAGGTCTCTAGGCTGATTCAAGTTTTTATTAGCTCCACCCTTTACCCAATTTGGGAAGCTTCTAAAACAAAGCTTTGTTCCTGCCTGAGAGGTATGGTCTGCCAGTACTTGGTGATGGTCACCCCTTTCACCACAGCAGTCAAAGAAGGATTTTTCTTGTTTCTTTGGACCATTTGCATTTTAAAATAAGCAAGGAAATCAGTCATGACAATTGCATACTAAATAACAATAAATTGATTTATAACCTAAGTGGTTTATTCTAGCATAAGGCTGGTTTTCCATAGCAAAGGGGACGAAAGCCTGAGGATGATGCTTTTGCTAAAGAATACCTTTGAGGAAAGAAAACGGAAAAAGAGTGTTCTGGTGGTGGTCACCCCTGCCTGGTGGGGTCGAGAGACAGGTTTATTGTTAAAACCAGCAGTCTGTGGTATGTTTTCCCCATGATGGTGTGTTACTGAAGGGCAGAGCAAGGCAACGTGGCACAGCTCTGCCTGCCTCATGGCTGAACCCACACTCACACTCGGGCAGCTTCTCACATGCTCTAACCATAATGGCTTGTAGTAGCTACCAAAAGGTATTTTGGCCAGGAATTGCTTGTCATGCTCCTTCAGGACAGCACGCAGCATCAAACAGCAACTTGTGAACCGGGTAACTTTGGTCGTCTGGGGAAACAGCCGTTCGGGTGGTTTATTTGTATAGTAGGTATTTGTTATGAATGCAGGATGTTACTAGGGCTCAGACCCTGCATTCTTGACCTCAGTGCAAACATCTCTATTTGAGACATCCACCAGCAGAAAACAATGACCTGTGTCAAGTAATTCTAGGGGCTTATGTGCTTCTTTGACAAAGGGGACCATTCTGTACCTCCCAAGTGCACAGGTTATTGCCAATGACCAGCACTCACTGGCACCAGGTTAAGCTGGAAACCTGTCATCAGTAGTAGTGGTTTCTGCCTTAGTCTTGTATGTTACTACAGCTGGGGTTACACCAGGGTCCTCACAACAATCCAGGTGCTGGTTAGAACAAATGTCTCTGTGTGAGTCATATGGGGGGACTGAGCAGTGCTGGGTGTCTGGGGTAGATGAAACAAAGCCACAGCCTCGATTAACAAGGGGATGTAAAGTGCTGCTGGGATATGAGATCCTGCTGGAGAATAGAGGGGCTCTGTGGAAGGCTTAAACAGTGTTTTTCTCTGTGTTTGTGAGCACAGAGATGAGACAGAGGTAGTCTTATTTATGATTCTAGTGGGTTTGAAGAGTTGTATGTTTATAGTAGTTTTCTGGTACCTCAGGGAGTGGGAAAAGGCAGTGGGTAAGCCATATGGCCAAGCAGGAACTTGAGAAATGGTGCTTCCCATGCAGGGAAGCACAGAAAGATCGGATGAAAATCATATCTTGCTTTGGGAAGACACAATCTTCCCATTTTGGGAAGTGTATTATGGGGATGATGAGCTTTCCATTGGCATCTAGATGGGAATGAAACCTTTACAAAACTGATTTAGAGTTTGGAAAGGAAAGAAGGGGATCCTGAGTAGGCTGGGATATGTGAAAATCACACAGAGTTAATGTTATGGACACGAGAGTGAAACCCAGGCTTTCCAAGAGCAGAAATATGAGTGCAGAAGCATGTGCCTGCAGTGCTGTCTGTGCCCTGGTGAACACATATACACTGGGTTTGGGGAGTCCTGTGGTGCTTGCAGGGTGTGTATGAGCAAAGATGCTGACTCCAGCACCAGCTCCTTCTGATAGCTACAGGATACTACAGCATGGGGTGGATATGGGCTCACCTTGGAAGCAAATGCAAGCAATGTTAATTTTGAGGTGCTCATGCAAATATGAACCACTACACTGCTGGGAGCAGAAAGGGAAGAGCTTCTGGCAGTAAAAGAGAAGCAGGCAAAATTCAGCAGTTGGGAGGGACATAAACTACGTATCTGAGTAAAGTAATGACAGAAGATATAACTAGCTCAGGTTAGCAACCTGGCAAGTCCTCGCTTGCATTGAGAGGGCAAGGGATTAAATAACAACCCCACACAAACTGAAGAGAGATGTTGAAGTTACCTAGCCAAGCTGCCAGGGGCTGGCTGTGTGCCCCTCTGCTTCTCCATGAAGCTTCCATGAGAAGCTTCATCCCTTCTCACCCCTGGCCCATGGCTGCTGCCCAGCTTCCTCATTGTGTCTCTCAGTGGCTGCTCTGGGCACCCCTGGGAGCACCCTGTGCCCTTGAGCCATTCTCAGATCCTGCCTAGCCCTGGAGAAGCAATGATCCCGTGTTACCAAAGAGCGGTCCTTAGCTGCCTCCTGTTCCCTTTGCTGTCAGGCCCTCTCCTTGTTTTACCACCTGCCAGTTGCTCAGTCAATGTTCTTTAGGAGATACCCTAATCCTTAATTCCTCTTTAGCTCTGAATAGCTCTGGGCAATGCCACCTATTTGCCTTGTCAGTATGTCCTCTCCAGACAAATTACTGTCTTGTGACATTAATTTGTTCCGTGCACC